GTACCAAAAATAACAAAAATACAGCCTTATAAATGAGTCACAGGAAACCATGTCAGAGGATATTTACCCAGAATATCCTCATATCAATAGCTTCATTTCAAAAGCACATAGAAATGTGTTCTGTAGCTTTATTCTTCCACTACTCACATTCAAGCTGATGAATCCATTCTTTTAGATAGATTTCCTGCCAAACCCTCATGCACAAAGAATAAATTTAAGACATAAAGAGTGTACCAGAAGAGCTGGGTTAGATCAGATCCTGTACCCTGTAAAAGTCATTTATTTTTTGGACATTTGTGTTCCTTTAAAAAAAAACAAAAAAAACACTCTCCTTCCCAAGCACAAAGGGCACATTCCATGAACTGATATTTTTCTTTCTCCCAATACTCCTTCTGTTAATGAAAAAGTATTCTCAGACTTTCTTCTTCCCTTTGAAATGGTCTGAAAAAGGAGCACAATACTCCTCAGTGTTCAGCACACACACTTCAGATCATTTTGCAGCTTGCTTTCCAGATGGCTCCAGCTCCCAAATGGCACTGCCAATGTGCTGAGCACAACTGCCATGTGGAGATAATCATGGAACGCGAGGGGAGGCAGGGGAGATTACTTTAAGACAGTATGTTTCAAGTCTCCCTCCCACACCTGGGAATGTCAGGAATTTCTATGACAGTGTTTCCTATATCTCTGCTGACACAAGTTTTCTTTACCCAGGAGACCAAAAGGTTACACATCTATTTTTATTCTTCATTCAACAAATTACTCCAAAGGATTATCTGAACTTCTTGTGGGAGGCTTTGACAGGGCTGAAGTGTTGATGTGTGATGCTTACCAATTATTTTTAATACACCATAATAGAGGAGGAAATGTATAGCAGGGATTCAGGCATGCAAGGGCACATTAGCTCCATTTGCTGTTTGTAATTAACCAGTGAAACAACTTACCTAAGGATGTGGTGGATTCTCCACCACTGCAAGTCTTTAAATCAAGATTGAATGTCTGTCTAAAAGATATGGCACAGCTCACACAAAAGTTTGATGCAGTGATTACTGGGTGAGGTTCTCAAGCCTTTTACACAAGAGGCCCAACCAGATTATCAAAATGGTCCCTTCTAAGCTTTAACATCTACTGGGGAAGGAAGGAGATGTACTTACACCAGAGAAATGAAAAGGAACTGGCTGCACCAAGAGAAAAGGAATAGTAGGAGAGAGGAGGCAGATATGCTTGAATGGATCTCATTGAAAGACCAACGCCTACCTAGACAAGATACTGCTAAAGGCTGGGGGAAAGGGAAAAGAAGGCAAGTGTTTGGATAGTGAGGTTCATCATGCATCGTTTCAGTTCCATAAGGTATTTAACTTTTCTAGCATCTATTTTGCTAATGCCTCAGTGAAGGGAAAAGACTAGCTTTTGCAGGCCTTTTAGAACTTGTGCTTTAAGGAGAGGTTGGAGGTGAGACAGGAGGAAGATTCCAAGTGCTGGGTTTGCATAGCATGGAGATAAGAGTAGGAGAAGAGCTAGGAAGTGGCAATTTGGCAAGCGGATTGGACGAAGTGAAGGAAGTGAGCAGAAAACAAGTTTATAATAATATTGTTTGAAGGCATGTCTACACTACAAAATTAAGTCGACCTATGTTAGATTGACTTAGAGCCATTATTGCGGCGGTTTGTGTCAATACAACCCTCGTTCTGTCGGTGGTGTGTATACTCACAAGGAGTGCTTCTGCCAACTTAAGAGGGGTGGGCTCTGAGCTCCACCTGCAGCTCCCCGCTGGGATCTCAGCTGGCCCCCATGGCTCTCAGCTTCCCATTGGGAGCATGGCTCCACCCCGCCCCCGGCTCTTGGCTCTCCGCCAGGAGCACAGCTGCCCCTGCAGGCTGTCGGTTCCCCACTGGAAGCCCAGCAGCCTCCTGGGCTCCTGGCAGGGAGCAGGTAGCCTCAGTACAGCTGAGCTCCCAGTGGAGAACAGGGAGCCTGGAGCCCAGGGGGCATTAGGGCTCCCAGCGCGGAGTGGAGAGCCTGGGCAGCAGCCTGGTTCGGAGCCGGGACCTCCGGTGGCAGCCCAGCTTGGAGTGGGGAGCACAGGTAGCAGCCCGGCTGAGAGCAAGGCTGTAGTGCAGACATGGACATAATTAGGTCAATGTAAGCTGCCTTACATCACCCTAACTCTGTAGTGTAGACCGGGTCTGAGTGTCTATGTAGTGGCAGCCCTATGCTTAAGATTTCTGCTTCACCCAGCTTGTGCTATGTTGTGAAGCGTAACAGCAGAAACAATGAATTAATGACAAGAGGATTTCGCCTCCCAGAACAGAGTTCTTCTGAAAGCTGATATAGTGCTAAAAACAAAATTGGCAAGACTTGGTTTTTTTGTGAAGCTAAACAGCTCCTTAGCAACTCATAGAAAGCTCACAGGGAACACCAGAATTAAGACTGCAGCATGAATGGAAATAGGTTGGAAAAGTTGTGTGTGTACGGGGAGATCCACTTAAAAGAGACTGGCTGTATCATTCACAAGGCAGCAGATTACCAGATACTGTTATTCTGAAGTTCTTCTGTTGGAGCCATTTCCTATTTTATCTTCTTCTTTCCTGTCCTCCAAACATCAGAATGTCAAATATCTGAACACACTGGACTATGTTGCAAGCGTCTCTTGTTTGTGCCAGATTCATGGGTCAGATCCTCAGCTGGTGTAATTAGATTTGCTAATTTACACCAGCTGTGGTCTGGCTCCATTTCCCAACAAGACATAGTGTGCCAAATTCCTCTTTGGTGTAAGCCCCATTGACTTTGGTTTCTTCTATATTTATAGCATGGAAAACTGTGACATATCGGCTCTAAGAAAAGATGCATAAGGTCTTTTCTTTTAAAATTTCAGCTGTCAGGGAATGGCTTTATAGCCTCTCCAACATAACATGTGTTGCTCAAGAGTCACCTTTTCCCATTTAAGTGGCTTCCACCTTTCATTCAGGACTAAACAGCCCCCTGTCTGGCTGAAGTGCTGTTGTCTGCCAGCTTTCATGCATTATTTGGAAATGTTATAAACACGGAAGAGCCTCTGAGCAAAAAGCCTCTCCTGCTGAGTACAACAGCTAATTTACTCCTTGTGGTCAGTGGTAAAAAAAGACATGGGTGAACCTGAACACTACAGGTCTGTCGCATCTTACGTGCATTTAACATGCGCGATTTCAGCTTTACGCAGTCGGCAAAAACAAAAAAAGAAGAGAAAAATAACAATTTTAATACTGTACTTGTAGTGCGGGCGATTCCGCCCGCCATTCAACTCAATGTAATTTTGACTATACGCGGTTTTCGCTTTACGCGCTAACCGTGGAACGGAACACCCCCGCATAAGATGAGACTCGCCTGTACTGCATTTTCCAGCTCATTGTCCCCAATAATAAAGTTAATTGTTCCCTATTCTTCATCTTCCCAGAGATTTTGGTTTTTGAATGTTTTCTGAAAGGCTTATAAACAATCACCTGGCAGGATGCTAATCAATTTAGATAGTCAAGTTTTGAGATCCTTAGCTTGATTTTCTCTCAAGCTAAGCTCCCAGTGAAGCTGCCACTGTCTGAATAAAATTCAAGCGAGTAAACATCTCAGTATTTGGCCTACTGTATGTAAGTTCATGATAGAGGCTGCTATGATGAGGTATGTGAATTTATCACACTATTTATTCCTAGATGAAAAACAAGCACCCAATAACCTCGTAAACACAAGTCAGTTTTTATGACATGACAGCCGGATACTTTATACTTCAAAGCATGAGAGCAGCAGAAATGAAAGAACAGCCTTTATCTGATTTTATTATTTAAAAAAAAAAATCGAAAAAAAAAATCAGAGGTCTGCAAGATCAACCCAAAACACTTCTTCCCCCCTTAAACAAATGGTTTTGTGTTCACTAGTAAAACACTC